CAAGTATTTGTTTGATTGAATGCCCAATAACACCTAAAAATTGAGATTGGCTATTTTATAGCCATATTTTTTTTAGGAAAAAATCTTGTACCTTTATTACAAGGTTTCAGGCAAACTTTTAAAAATAATGACACTAATAGCTTCAACTAGACATGTATTATATCTTTTGATGTATCGTTGAGCAAAATCGGTCCAGTAGGAGCAGAGTAATTGTGTGTTGTGACACAAAAAAAACAAGATAGTAAAACTATTAGCTTCTCAGCTACACATCGAAGCTAAAAATAGGAGAGCGTAATTATTAAAAATCTTTATTAAACAATGATATATTGACTATTTTGGATTCATTGTCAAGCTATTTGGTAATACATCACATAAAAAAAAATTATTAAAATTAATTGTAGAAATTATGTGCGACTCTTAGTTTTATCATATTGTAATTAAGTTATTAAAAATAACTATAAAATGTCTTACTGAGCTAAATAAAAAAAAATTAGTAAAAGTCAATGTTTCTTAAAGTCGATTATCTTTACTAATCATTCCCTGCCTAGTAATAAGGGCGTGGCATTAGACTAAGTTGGAGCTAAATAAAAATGAAGATATTTTCACTTTTTTTTTTAATTGTAGGCAACCAGCCTTAAAGAATTAAAACCATATAAAAGAATATTTAATGGTAATTAAATTTTGTTGTTGCGTCCGTTTCGCATCATAACATTAATTAATCTTTATTTTTTTATTATCTTCTATTGGCGAGGGCAACTCATAACGTATGCAGTCTTACGTCAGTTAACATTTAAATACAAAATAGAACTTAATAAGCCGATAGATAGACGAATAGATTGATAAACAATTTATTCATTTGTGAAATTAAAAACGATAAATAATAAATAAAAAAACGATGAATAGTAAAATCGACCAGAGTGAGTAGTTGGAAGGCGTTTCGAATAGGCAATTCTACTACATCAACGTGCTAGAGTTATTTCTGTTTTTCGACGGGACATGAAACATACAGAACGCTAAGATCGAACTCGGACGGGTCAAGCAAAACGGAACATGACAAAGTAACCATTAGGTCCGTTAAGTAATTCCTGGCATTGAATAGTTGAAATTGTAGTACATCAACTCAAATTTCACATAGTTAACGTTGTGCCATACCTGTAGAATTATACAAAAGACGTCATGGAACACAACTCTATGTATGCAAAATATTCATTATTTTAGGGTTAAACGACGTTAATATCCGGTTTTTTGGATATGAGAAGTAAAATAATAATGAAGCCAAGGACGACACGATGGACAGGACGTCGACGACGGCGGAAGGATGTTATGTATGTGTGCGTGAATTGGAACAGGGCTGAATTTTAATTCAGTCCTGGGGGTCGATCGGTGTGCGGTTTTCCCCGGGGGTCGCTACGATGGCAAGCCAAAAATCGATAGTGTCGAAGAGGACGCCCTCTACCGGGAGGTCCGGCAATTAGTTCAGGTCACCGCGACTACTTCACCCTGTGCCTATCCAGTTCAAGCGATATGCTTTGGTCGCCGTGCGCACCAGTAAAAGCGCCGTAACAGAATGCCCTTCGACATCGATTATCCCCTCCAGTGGTGGTTTTTCCGACGGGTTTTCCCTTCACCACCCCACACAAATGGTCGTACACGCCAAAGTATCGTACGCGGCCTTATTAATCCCAGTGCTACCGACTTACACGCGCGTTTATGCGATTAGCTTAGGTTACCGACATACACGCCCAATAACAACGTCTGTATACATTACACCAACAATGTAATTCATAACACTTATAAGGCACGTTAAATAAATCACGTTTATTAGCATTATTAGCACACAAAAGAAATAGATTATTTAACCATTAGGTTTATTAGAAAAATACCGGTAATGGTGATGAATATGTAGCTGCATGTATAATACACATGTACATACATCAAATGCTATTAAACTATTACAAAACGTTAAAGAACGTTTTTGAAAAAAAGATTAAGACATTTTTTAAGGGATGTCCGATTTATCCGGGGTAGACAATTTTGCTTTTTTAGTAATCAAATCTAAGTAATCGAAAATTTATTTTGAAAAACATATTTTACTGATTACATGCATTTGACTTAATAGTTTTTCACTTGTACAATAACATCAATTATACTTGTAAATAGTCTTATCTAATATAGAGATATATTTTTTTTAGATTTGTTGAAAATTATCAAAGTAGAATGATTTTATTATTCATAAATTATATTTTATCGTTCTGATAATAACGAAAAATATGGCTAAAGCTTAACAGATTTTCGTTGAAAAAAACAATTGCCAGAAATGCTTTTGAGTGTAAAAAGCTTCTCATTTAATGAAATTAAATAATTATTTAATGTTTATTTTATTAAATAGATAAACATGAATATTTGAAATAATTAAGTTTACTCTTGAGTATAATTATACAACGCATCGTATAATATAAGAGTTAGGAAATAATAAAATAATAGATTAGAATACAATTAGCGCCACTGTAGGACGCTGGGATAACTAATATTCATTACTGTGACATCAACTGACTGCGCAAGGTACGTCAGCCAGGTAAGAATGGAAATTAGGGTAAAGGTTTTTTATTTATTTTAAATATTTATTCGTAAATATTTTTTTTCACATGAATTAAAAATGAATGCCAAAGTCGCGAAACTATAGTAAATAATATTTATTACACATGTATATTATTGTACCATAACACCACACACGTGTACAGCTGATCATATTATTGTATTTTTATTAACAGTTGTGCGTGAGTATATTATAAACACACATAGACACACTTGAGGACGTGCAAATAATAAAATACAAAACATAANGACGTGCAAATAGTAAAATACAAAACATAAAAATAATTTTGAAGGAATAAAAACAAACGTCTTTCCGTGGTGTCGACTTACCGATTTCGTACCACACATCATGATTGCCGAAGTGTTAGGGAACAACTAAAAAAATAATTGATTTTCCTACGGTCGATTTTTGTCATAATATAAATTTTACATAAAGGCAGCTGGCCAATACATTTCAAACATTCTAGTTGCATGTCATTGGTGATACATGTAGTAAACAAAATAAAAAGGGTGGGAACGATAAAAAACAGAGGACACTAGGTCACTTTGGATTGAAGCTTGTAATAGTTATAGTTATCAATATTTTTGCCCTCTCTACCATGATAAGGATCTATAGATAGAGAAATCAAAAAATATAGAATAATAAAATATAATGATTTTTTGTAAATGGAAAGTGCAAAAATTGTGCATTTATTTAATTTATATTTAAATCAGAGTCTAATTATTNTTAATTTATATTTAATTCAAAGTCTAATTATTAAATAATAATACATTTCTATTCACTGTAAATATTCAAATACAATTTTTCCTTATATTTCAAGAAGACTACGATTCTAACATGGATTCTGCGCTGAAATCTTCTTCAAATGAAAATGATCTAACTTTGGTTATTTATTCCATAAATATATAACATACAAGGTAGCCCAGAATGTTTATAAATATAATAATTTTTTATTTCTCCAATATTTTATGTTACTTTTTTTTTAATAATTGTTAACACGTTAAAATATAACCATTTTACAATACACAATAGTTGTTTTAATTATTGACAATTTTTTTTTTTAAATTTACGAAAAATATAAATAAAAAATTCAAGTTAGCCATCTTATAAAATAAATATTAATGAAAATGTTAGTAAAAAATCTCTTATTAATATTCAATAATATATTATCTGTAGCATTATAAATGTTGTGAAAATTTGAATTTTTCATTTGTTTTTTTATGATATCAAACATTATGTATTAAGAAAAGAAATTGTTTCACGCCAAATATTGGTTATATTATAACTAATATTATATTATATTATGTATGTAACTTTTTCCATGAAAATTATCTACGCTGGAATGACAAGCTATGATTGAACTTAAAAATTTGATAGAGAGAACATAACAGATATCATTACTATTTATTTATTACGAATAAAAACACGGTATTTGTTTTATTCTACATGATAAAATATTTGATACAACAAATTTCCTTTGTTTTTTTATTTTTTACTAATATTAATAAATTTTAAATAATTAAAACCTTTACCTCGTATATAACGATCATGTATAATTAGCTTATTATTACTGTATTATTTTTATATATATGTTAAAATTTATTAAAATAATATATATTTTATAAATTTTCAATTTCTCCGTTTTGCAATAGTTTACGCTACTAATTAAATAAACTATAACATTATAAAATAAACATCATAAATTTTAGTATAAATTAATATTCACATTTGATTTTTAAATTTGTAAATACGTGAGATAAATATAGCAGACAATAAAATGAACAAGACAAAATAAAATAAAATTATAGAGATTTTTTTTACACTTTTCGTAAATATTTACTATAATTAAAATTATAAAAATTTTATAGTCCAAAACGTATAAAAATTATAAAAATAAATTAACGAAAAATATTGACTTTATCAAGTCATTAAATTTATCAAAAAATCGCGGACCACTTTGTATATATATATAATTAATTTCTAGTATTTCTAGGGTTTTGCATTTTAACGAAAACTTTTTACAAATTTCTATTCTAGGTAAATACATATTTTAATTTATAATAATATTGAAACAATAATGTAACATTAAATGTATTTGTTTAGTGGTCTGGTGGAAAGTATACCCTCCTTCTCAATTTTTGTTAATATTTTTTTTGAAATGTTGGTGTATTATCCTAGTCATCGTCATGGTTACGGTAATTTGATAAGATCAGATGTTCAGAATACTAGATAATTTATTTAACTATTTTATTAAGACATAAAGGCTGTAAAAAATTGTTATAATATACAGAATGATTTATTAAGTATAAAAATTCCCTATTATTCGTTAAATAATGATATTTTTTTTAAAAATGTACAAATTAAAATATAATTTGTTTTTATAAAATATTGTAAAAATCAAGTTTATTGTAAGAAAAAATTATTCCTAAGAGTAGATTTCAGGGGTAACTATTGAAAGTTAAATGAGAATCTGTTATTTTTTACTATTAAATGGAGAATAGTATAAATAAAATTTTGACTAGTTGATAACCAGTTTCGTATTATTATTTTTGAGTTGTTATAATTTTTAGTTATAGGTCAGCTAAGTGCACAACATGGAACTATTTGTCCGTTATGCTAAATACAAAGTATCGCTAAACACTACCCGCTCAGGGCCACATTAAAACTTATGAAAAATATCGGCACCATAAAAAAGAGATAATGATATGTAGAATGAGAGCAGTATAATAGTAATCGTGTTTTATTTCATAAAAAATATTACTATTATACTATATGTTGCTTACTGAAAAACTTTTGGCAGTTGAACGAACGGAAAGTTCTTTTTAGCAATTTCTAAAATATTTCCTCTTTAATTATAATTTAGTTTTAAAATTGATTGTAATTATTGTCTACATAATATTTAAAACAGGATTGATTAATTAAAGCTTTAACGTTAGTTAAAAAATAACTCAAAAAATTTGATTCGAAACAAAAATACAGATATAGTAAAATATACTTCCAAAAAATTGACATTTATTAGTATAATTAAATCAACTATAAATATTAAATAAAACGTTTAAAATTAAAATCGTTATAAAATAGCAATAGGACAACACGTATCACTAGTGTTCCCTAAATCTAAACTAACGATTAATTTATATTTTTACAGACAATTTGTACAATGAACATTTATTATCATTATTTTAAATATTTATATTAAATAACTATTGAATTAATTAAGTTCAATATTGTAAGATCAAGCTTCCTAAAAAATAAAACTGGACTCAATTCATAGGACACGCTGAATTATTGAAAAGAGTATGTCGGATATAAGTTAATTTCAATGTTAAAATTTGTTTTTATTGTAAGCATAATAACTATTATATTTAGGATAGTTGGAAATAAATTATATCAACAATATTGAGTTTTATTTGTTATTTCGTGTCAAGTTAATCTTCTTATAAATAATGTTTTTTGCATACAGTAAGATACTAGACTATTATTTACTTAAAATAAATCATTGAAATACAAAAAATGTACATAGATTTAAAACTATATTTATACATTTCCAATATTATAAAGTACTTAATAATTATTATCTCAATGTATAAAGTAAATAAATGCTACATTTTATTAGTGCAAGATTTCTAGTTTTGACGGACAATGAATTGTGATCAATTAATATTTTTATACATTCCGCGGTTACTATTGTGGTGTATTGAGAATTTGATGATTTTAATAAACTATTAATTGAAATCAAATCTGAATACCTGATGATACGATTGTAATTATTTTACTATGTAGCACTTATTCAATCGAAAAATAAAAACAATATTACTAATTATTTATTTCTTTTAGTTACATATTTTTAACTTAATTTACCAATCATTAAGTATTTTTAATATTCGTACTTTATACTTTATAAATGTGTCAACTTTATTTTATTAGATGGTAACACAAATAATTAAATACCTTATTTATTAGATAATAATATAATTAAAAAAATTTAAGCTTTTGGATCAGTATTTCAAAAGTTATTAACAATTTAAAGACTGAAGGTGAGAAGCGGGTGCTGTTATTTATATCACTGGATATTCTCCGGTCTCACTCTTCCAACCGTCCAAGTATAAAAATGTTAATCACTTCTGAAATAATGGTCCGAAAATTTGATCGACCATTCATTATCTCAAAAAATAACTAGTTAATTATGTATGTCGCTATTTGAAAAAATAGTTGTGATGGTATAAGGGGATAAACATAAAAACATTTCATGAATCATAAATAGAGAAAAAACATGCAACTAAAAGAAACTAGTAAATAAATTATCGAATTTATTTTTAAATTAATTAAAAGATTTATGATAAAGGAATCGCCTTCTATGTATATTAACAAGTATGTTTTCTTAAATTTCATAATATTATATTCATTATTTAAATAAGTAAAAAATCCGAAAATTTAATATGTTCACTAGTTGTCTTCTTCACCTGTGTGGTGAATCATTTAGTCGCCGATGTTCTTCTGTGTTGTTTACTGTTTTCCGGATGGGTGACCATATGGGAACTTTAACATTGACACGCACTTTCCTCTCTTACTGGCTCATAAAGAAGTTGCGTCAAGTCAACAGCCGGTTTAAATATCTTGTCAAATCATTGTAGTGTAGAGCCTACACCAAATAGTTGGGGTAAAAGTTAAGGAAATGACACTATTATAGTTAAGACTAGATCATACATGACTTAAATTAATGTACAGTACTCCATGTTTTCTCTTAGTCTTGATTGTTTAAAATGGTAACGAGATTATACAAATTTTCCGTTTACTCTCCTACAATTATCCGTATTACTCTATATCAATTTAAGTACCCATTTCGTCCACAATAATAGACTATAAGTTTGTACAAAGGAACTGAATTTTTCATTCGATCAATAGTTCAAAAGAAATTGAAAATTTTAATTTTAATTCGACAGAAGAATCATCAATTCACAGGTGATAACCAATTTTATCTCTATGAAATTAATTCTGTAGTTCAACTTATTAACTGTATATCAAGTGATAGAGGTAGCATTATTCCTAGCAATATTACTAATATTTTAGTAAGAATTGTCAAACTTCTTCAAAATCTAAAACGTTGGATTATTTTTCTTGTAGCCATTTTTATTTTTCAAAAATAAGATTTTGAAACACTAGAAATTTCTAAGTACAACTTTATTTGTTCTCTAGTTGTATTACATGCAATCTAGTGATCTCTAGAGATTATCAGGGGCTTCATTAGACTCATAATTAAACTATATTTCTTAGACCATATTTATTAAAAAAAAATACCGTTTTAATTAACAAATTTTAGCAAAACCAATCATTAATATTAACAAAAATACGATAGCACAGTGAG